AAATCCCAGGGGGAGGAGGTCTTCCCATACGGACCGGATCCAACAAGCTAACGCTGATAACCTCATTCAGACTGGGAGGTTTCCTGTGAAAGTGATCCTTTTGCTAACTGTTTGTTTAAAAGCTGACAGGCTACAAGAGTCTCTGTGACAGCATCTATTCATCTCAGGGTGTCAGACAGAGGAAAAGAGGGAACGAGGGACGAGGGATAAAGAAACAGAGAGCGAGGAGGCGGATGAAGAAGGATCGTGAGAGAAAGCCCAGTAAAGAGTAAATGGGAGAGTGGAGGGCTTTAACAATCAGCTAGATTTACCTTTAGCTTTGGAACAGCTTCAGATCATTGTGGTAGCAATTTCAGAAATTCATCTGGCGAGTGACTGAATGAGTACTGATGTTTTCATCACTTTGGTTTTAATTATATGTCTCACTCAGCACAGTCTTCCTTCTACTCGGCTAATTTAGATTGAGATCCTTCCAGGCTTTCCCCTATCTTTCATTTCCCTCCCCTCCTTCTCTCCTCTCTGCATCCCATCAGCCCCTTTGTAGGAAAAAAGAGGAAGGAAAAAAACCTTCATGTCTGTGACTTTCTTGCCCTCCAGCGTATGAAGCCCTCTTTTATTTTGATCATCGCAGCACAATGGATTCATGCCATTCTGGCAACTTTATTCAGTATCAGCCCAAATTTACATACTGCTTAACAAGTTTGTGCGTGACTGTTGATGCCTCTGATCAAAGTGCTTTTGGAAATCTTTCTCATCAGATTTTTTTCCCCTGCCCTTCATTTCAAATGCATGCTGCAGACAGGCATCTTTAACTCAGGGGCAAAGAAAGGTAACCTTAGTGCTGCACAAGCCCAAATGTCATCCAACAAGGAGGGCTCATGTCCTGGGGATAAAGATAATGTAATCTAAGCAGTATACAGTGTGTGACTGTGTGTCTTTGTGTGTGTGTATCTATGCTAGCCTCAGTGTTTGTTGGAGGCTTGGGTTTGGGGGCGGAAGGAGACAGGGGATGACAAAAGTCAAAGCAGTCATGTGTCATTTTCGGTGCTGAAGGGCTGAGACCTGCCTTCAGGGCTGTCCTCTCTGTCAGACGCACTCAGATATCTGCGCTGAACTCTCCCGCTGTCTCTTTTTCTTTTGCTCTCTCCATCTTTCCCTCTGTCTTTATCTAATGCACGCGCATATTTGCAGCTGCATGCCCATGCACTAGCACGCAACAACTCAGTGCTCTAAGTAGCATACAGTAACAAGGTAGACCAACATTTGTATACTATAGGTAATGTAAAACAGTACTTTTGAAACCACAAACATCTGCTTTAGATATATGAGATGCAAGTGACTCATTTCATATTTCAGCATTATTGCATCTTGACCACATCTGCCACAAAAGCAAGACTGGAAGGGATGTGATATGTTCCATGACAAGTGATACAACACGCAACCCTAAAACACTGTAAGGGTGCAAGAAGCTGAGTGGGGAGAAATATTTGACAAAGATCAGGTTGTAAATCAAGATTTCAGAGGCTATGCCACAAACCAATGGCCCATACAAAATCCCATGGGGATAGAAGAGGAGGCTGCACAGAAATGTACTGTAGCTAACCCATTGCAAGAACCCAGTAGCCCCCATTTACAATAATACAGTACATTTGTAAATATATATGTGGCTACCAGTGCAAACAAAAGAATGGAAAACATTAAATAACTGAGAAAGAAAATGGATTCAAAAATACAATGAAAAGAGGGTGTGGGTGGAAAGAGAGGAATCGTGGGAATGCAAGATTGCACCTCCCTCAGGCAATCGAATTATCCTATGGGCTGATGGTTCCTCCTTATGCGTCGGCTGACATTTTCCTGTAACCCCATCCCAAGTAATGCTATGTGATGTGTGTGACTGGCTTCTGCCACGGCCCGGAGAGGCCACGAAGCCCTAGGGCCATTTGCGTTTGGCCTGCAGCATCCTGGGAATTGTTTATTTTAGCTCTGTCTGCTCCTTTTTGCCTCTCCCCCTCATTTCGCTTTCTCCTTCCTCATCTCTCCTGTTCTCTCCATTTCTCTTTCTAGCCCAGTGGTGTCTACTTTCAATTAGAGGAGGATGCACTTGTATTCTTCTGTGAGACAAAACCCCTGACAGGTGACTCTTGAGGGGTAACTCAAAACCATGCCTTTAGTCTCTTCACACAAACTGTTAGTATTCCAGCACCTTTCACAGGATACAAAGGTAAAAAACGAAACCAAAAAAACAAAACAACCAGAGCTGTCGGTGGTATCAGTTACTCAACTGTATATGTTGCTCTTTGTGATGATAAGAGTGGAGGGTGTGTTAAAAAAAGCAGTTGAAAATCAAGATGTGCTGTGTGTTGTGTACGTGTGTGAGGGAGAGCGAGAGAGAGAGAGAGAGAGAGAGAGAGAGGAAAGAGATTTAAGGACAGAGAAGATGAGATGTGTGATATGAGATAATAGAATGATATTCAAAATGTATCCCTGGAGCTAGAAGTTAAAAGAGAACATTAAAAGAGAACATATTTTGATCGCTTGTGGATATGTAACCCAGCACACCAATATGCCCAAACTTTGCTTCATAGTGCTGCAGAGCCCTAAAGGGCATAAGTGGAGGCGGGCCAATCCGCTATACACAAATAGTGTATGTGTGTAACTGTCGACATGTGACAAGCAGAAAAGGGACAGTGTTGAGAACGTAGCCTTTTATGACCCAACACACTTTGACAGCTTGGCCATCGCTTGAGGACACAAGCAATGTTGCTTTTTCATCTGACAATTTTAAGCAAAACAACTCTCCCTCGATGGATTCAATTGTTCAGAGAGCTCTTTGTGGCTGTGTGTTAAAGCGCAGGGACAAAAACATGTCAGTGGCCCATAGATTCTGCTCGCTGTTAGCTAGAGGAGTCATACTGTCAATCTGTAGGACAAAAAGTGGGATAAAAGTGTAAGCGATACCATGGGAACGCTGCTTTTATGCAACACTGCGCTCTGCTGGTAAAGGGTGATAACACCTTGAGTAATTCAGCAGCAGCAGTGAGACAGTCTTAACAGAAGACTAATGTAACCTTAGCTCCCCAGGGATGCAAATGTCTGTGTGCTTTTACCCTTGAAGCAGTTGCCTTATTTGCACCTAAGGACATTCTGCACTGACAAATTTTAAACATCCCAGGAGGGGCATATTTTGAAATATGGCCACAGGGTGGCACATTAGAATGACAAAAATGTAGATCCTCAAAGTGAAATTTGCCTGTGACTTGGAAATCAGCTAGAGAGGAGAGTAATGGATGCTGTTAAAGGAGGGTCAGACTATTGGCGTTAGATACAACCAGATACTGAAAGCAGATGTGAACACATGCAATGTTTTTTTCCCATTGTTTGTTCTATATTAACTACAACATGAGAACGCACTCAGCCTAAAGTGTATGTGCATGCCAGATAAAGAGAAAAAGAGATGTGGGCACTGTTTAAAAAAAATCTGTTGTGTGTTCACATTAATACAGTGTTTGTGCAATTGGCCTGTAAGCTCTGTGTGTGTGTGCGTGTGTGCATCCAAACAATGCACTCAGTAGACAGCCCGCAGCAGTGTGCATTCTTGCTTGGAGAGTACATGTCCTCGGGCCTCGTTCCTCCGTCGATGACCTCTGGTGAAGCCATTATTTTCTGCATTAATGATGAGCAGCAGCCAGCGATGAGAGAGATGGACTTTGTCCTGAGGCACAGTAGTGCTGATTATGGACAACAACAATGCCAGCTAAAAAAAAGAAAGAAAGAAAAAAAAATATAGAAAACTCTTCCCACAAGCAGTTCAAAAGACTAGGAGTCTTAGCAGCAACACCAAATAAGCTGCTCTAGCTCTATTGACAAGATATATCAGATAACCTCTGTAGCTAGAGGATTACCCAGAACTTTAATAAAGTTTACCTATAGCTTGTTTTTGTCATTCAGTGGATTCACCACCTGTCTGCAACCTGAGCAGCAACAAACCAGTGGCTGTGAAAGCACACTAATCTTCAAATTCTGAAATATATTAATGTGGCAATTAGTGTATGGATGAAATGGCTGAGTGCGAGTCATACGTACCCTATTTTTATTGCCCTCCTAGGATTTAATGACATTATGTATGGGAAGTGATATCAGAGGCTTAATTGATCCTCTGACATCAGCCCAAACACCAACCTATAAGACTCACAAACAAGGCAAATTGCAGACAAAGTGCAATTGCTCTAGTCAAGGCAGCCAGGGCATCCCACTCAGGAAATCCTGGCTTGGGGAGATGACTCTAAATGAAGGACTTTACCATTCACCATTATGTCTTTGGTGAGAGTCAGAGGGAACCCCTGGGGCTCTTCAGCACAGCACGGCACAACTTTTCAAAGGGCTCCAGATTAAAGTCACTGAAAGTTCCCACTGGGGTCTGAGGCCAGGATCCCATTAAGCAGCCCTACCACACCGCCGGCTATAATTGTGTCGTTGAGAATTCAGAGCAGTGGTTGCTTGATAAGCGAATTTAGGGTGAAATAAAAAAGGAGCAGAAAAAAGGGGTCTCGCTGGGCCACCATTAGACACTTCAGTCGCTCATCACTAATTTGTTTTAAATGACTGAGGAAAAGGTGAGCACTTTATAAAGCAATCGAAGACACCTTTTTTTTTTCTCCCCTCTCCATTTCCAGGTCTGTGCGACAGAATGCTGATAAATGAAAACCATTGCACTTTATAGCCACACACTACACCGCCGCAAGTGGTCTTTTAAACTGTAGTTATCTTTATCGTAGTACTTCCTTTGCAGTAGGATAATCAATAAAGGGGTGGGGATGGGGGGTAGGACCCCATTCCTCTGCTGTTTTTTTTAAGTCAGTCTACTCTGATCTTTAAGAGACCAGTCAGTGCGCCACTCGTAAACACAATATTAATCAGTCTTATACGCACACACTGTCTTGTAAAGCCATTTGGCATATCAGACTGTTTAAAACTAGTTTTATAAATAATGATTCAACATGTTACAAACAAGTCCGCTTTTATTGAATATTTCGTTTCATTATGTTTCTGAATGTTGCAAACAGTTTATTTCAACATTTGGGATTCATCACCATCATAGCTGTTAGGTGAATGATATAAAAACATCCTGCAAGCGTAGTTTAAGAGCTAAATCCTAACTTGAGATGTATGTGTTTTTAAACACCAGTCAACTCAATAGCTGGAAGTAGAGGGACTTGACATTCTTTGTAAATTCAGAAACATGTTGAAAACGTTTGAACATCAACAGATCTCAAGTTATGATTTAGCTCTTTACAATGACATAACTGAGGGAAGTAATCCCTCTAAAAAGTACTAATATTTGCAACCCAAACATACTATTGTCATCCAAGTGCAATAAAGAAAAACTCTTCGTTAACTGCTTCAAGTGGACTTCTTCTGCTTCTTCTTCTCGGCCTCTTCTTCTTTTTCCTTCTCAATCTCAGCTACCAGAGTCTCAATTTCCTTGGACTCCAGAATCTGAAAACAGTCAAAAAAGGCAATTATTAGGCTATAAATAAAAAAGTAAAAAATAAAAAATAACCCAAATATAATTTGCAGCAAATCACCTTCAGTGGCTGATTCCGTCTGATAACAGCAAGTTCAATATTTTTCCCTCCTGACTGGACAACCTGTGACGAAACAAATACTTAAGTGAAATTCTACGCACATCAGCATATACTGTAAACTACTGTAGCCTCTGACTCAGGCTCATATTAACAGGCTGTGAGATAAAGTATTAAGATTTTAGACATTTTTAAGACCACTATCAATGAAATTTAAGACCTATCTCACAACATCAAAAAAATAAACATGGAAATGCTGTCACAAAATGACTTGCAGAGTAAATAAATGTATTCTAATTTGGGTTGAGTGATGTATACAAAATTGGCATTGGATGATGTCAACAATGAAACATGGGTATGGACGATGACATTGATAAGCTACGTAATTAACAAGCTGGCATGTGGATAAATCCAGAAAAATTACGAGTTTTGTGTCTTTTCAGCGATTTTCTAAGACATAACCTACTGCTAATGGAGAAACTCAGTGGAGCAGACAGTGAGACAGAGAGAGGCGGGGAAAGCCGGTGTGTTTGCAGTGAGAGACCAGGGGTAAAGGTGTGTGTGTGAGCGTGTGCAGGGAGAAGTCGAGGCAGGTGCAAAGCAGGTACATTTACAAATAATAATAAAAATAATTTCCACGGGGATTAAAACATGCTTTCACAGTGCGGTAAAATGTAAAAAATTAAGATGGTATTTTTGTGTTAGGGGTTTGGTCCTCCCAAGAAAATTTTTATGTTTTCCAATAAAGAAATATACAATTCCACATAATTTCGGAACATTCTTATTACCACATCTGTGAATAAGAAGTAGGTAAATCTAGAGCAGATGTTGAATAAACTACACCCCAAAAGCTAAACTTTCTAAATAAGTCTACTGGATTTGAATTATAACCCTTAGATCTGGGAAAATTCACGTGATTAGTTCTGATGCTTTCCACAATTTTACATTCATGGCGCAGCACCAAGCAGTTTTGAGCCACACCATCTTATAATGACAGGAAAACAATGTTAATGACCTCAGAATCATTACACACTGTTCATGTTTACCTTTTGTGTCTTAATTTTCTGCTTTATACATTTGTAGAAATTAACATAAAATATAGGCAACATGAGAACCTCCTCCCTTCTACACAATTACAAGCATTTCATTTGTACATCTAAATCAAAAACAATAATCTTCTCATTAGCTTAAAAAGGACTAGTTTGCATCCCTAATTTGCTTTTCCGTTACTAATCTCAGCTCCTCCGTGGTCAGCACCTTCCATTCTTTTTAATGTAATTTAACTATCAAGATGTACAGGACAGAGATGTAACCCGACAACATGCTGATCCTTTACTGACTTTTCACTTTCTGACGCTCTCTTCCTCACATTTGCTCGTCCTTTGAAGAATGAGGAGAGAGACACAGCCATGTGTTGAGTGTTACTGTAGCTTACTGAAAATCATTAATGATCGTGTGAAATTTAAGTAGCGGCGCTCATTATTAAGCAATGATAGTAGGCTTCAAATACGTTGCTAGCAACTGGTTTTAACCAAGCCCCAAGCTCTGTTTCTTTCAGGCAAGAGTTACTAAGCTCTTTCACACAGCTGAAGAATTAACCTCCTTTTTATCTGCGGTAACGTTACAATCAATCCGAACTCCGACTCGCGGCAATAACATGACAGCTACATGTTGGTCTTTGTAGTCGTAATACAGCGAATTATGTGGACTAGCGAAAGAAAAACTGCAACACCACGGGAGAAAAAAAACATTCTAAAGCACTGTGGGAGCATTTCAGTGAGCATTAGAGGTAGTGTTACATGAACGTTGGAAAATGTAACAGTACACATGCATCCTGTTTTTACCTGTGCTAGGGTGGTTTCAGCCAAACAGAACAAGCATTGTAAGGCACGGAAACCTAACAATTAGCCAGTGGCAGATCGCTTTATGGTTTACATCTGGCAGCAGCTGGCGCTCTTTGATAAAGTCAGGACTGTATTAAATTCACTACATGGTCACTGGTGGTCACTACATCTCATTCTGAGCATGTCTTACTTGAGACATGCTCTTTGTAGGGCCACAAAAAGAAATATTTTTATGGCAGTGAGGTAATCCTATTGTGAAGCAGTTTAGTAATTATTAAATCCCAATTTATGTAGCTAATGGAAAAGTGTGTAAATTCAAATATGTCAATGCCAAAATAAATTTGACCTTACCTCAAGCAAAGCTTTGATAGCCAACTTGATTGCCTCATTGTCCCCAGCAATGGCTTCATCTGTGTAATTCTTCTCCAGGAACTCCCTCACAGTTTTTGCGCTACGGCCGATTGCATTTGCCTGATTTTTTTTAGCCATAACACAAAATTCAATTATTAATCAATTTTATACTGGCAGGATACTTATACAAGTGTAACAAGAAAAAGTCATCTTCACAGAGCAAACTCACTTACCTTCCAGGCATGGTAGGTTCCTGATGGGTCTGTCTGATACAGCCTGGGAGTCCCATCGTAGTCAAAGCCAACAATTAACGCAGAGATCCCAAACGGCCTGCGGCCATTGCTTTGAGTGTAGCGCTAGAAACATGGCCGATATACAGTGTGATATGACTTGTCATTCTTACAAATCTTTATTAGAAATAAAATAAGATTTTGTGAACTATTATTAAAGACCAGTAACTGAAAGTTTATGCGATGTTGTGTTTATGCCCACTGAATGTGAAATCTTACAGATGGCTTTTAGTAAATGAATTGTAAACAAGTACCTGTTTCAGTGTAGCTATGTAGCGTGTGATGTATTCCACTGTGACTGGATCCTCAACAGTTAGTCTGTGGCTCTGGCATTCCACCCGAGCTCTATTTATCACAATACGGGCATCTGCCGTCAGTCCTTAAAAACATTGAAAGAGGTTAAGTTGCCATGCAACATACAGGTCAAATACAACAGGACATTTCAGTGAAAACCATAATAATCACTGGTACAGATATCAGCAAAGATGTAATGTTTGTGACAACTGATCTTATCCCCTATGCCATGTTACATACTGAATGTATTATTCAGTTACTGAAAATGTTTTGTTGTCTGAGGTACCTGCAAATGCCATGCAGACATGCTCGTCCAGGGCACATATCTTGCGGACAGTCCTTTCCTCCTGCAACTTTGCTACAGACTTCTTCTCAACACCAAGGACAACAATGTCTTTTCCTCTGATCCCCACCTGTGCAGTAAAAAATGTATCTAAATTAAATTTCTAAACCTTGGCAACACAGAACACTTAAATACCAGGGGCTGGCAATTGTTGGTATGACAGCAGTAAATAGCTCATGTCCAGAATTTTCAAATAAGTTGAATTAACAGACTGAGGGCCTGTTTCAACTTTGCTGTGTAAAGTTAAGTACACTTCTTTTTTACTTTAGGTCATCTTTGGTATCTGTGTTTCTCATTTTCAACACCAAATTGATCAGTGGAGCAGTTAAGGACCACACTATTCAGGACAGCAGAGTGTGGAAATTATATTCTTATTTAGAGAGGTTAGTCAATTAAAACGTGCAATTATGGCAAACAAAAGTACGTTTTAAATTGATTAACCTGACAAAACAAGAACATAATTTGATGCACATCCAACACACTAACTGCACTCAGATCACAGCCTTATTAGTGAGTTTATTTAACAAAATATTGGGCTGCCATTAATCAGATTAACAAACTCAAAAACAATTACTCTTTGTAACGCAGTTAGTAGTAAATCTTCCTGAACTTCCTACACCTCCAGTTACTAGCAAGTTAGAGAAGTTATCGGTAACCAGTGAATCTACAACTACAGTGGCGTAATGAATAACGTTATACAGCTACCGTTAACCTCAAAACCTAACGTCAAACTTAAATTAGTGAAATAGTGATGCAGCCTAGTAACGTTAACGTTACATGAGAAATACCATGCAGACATAACGGTAGGTTTTGTCTTTCCTTACGTTACCATTTTAACAAACGGCAACTTTGCTAAACACGTATAAATCAAATTCTGTTTCTGTGAAGTAGCATGAACAGTTAACGTTAAGGTAACGTTATCACAGTGAAACTGAAACTACTGAGAGTGACACAGCGACAAAATTCTTGCTAGTGATACTCTCTTTTCAAAAACCTTTAATAATTATTGCGTTACATGCTGAAGTTGCATTCCAACAGGGTGGTTAAAAAAATGCACTTCCACAACACTTGGAGTGTAACAGATTGTGACAAAATTAGCAAAATACAGGAGTTCGTCGCTAGCTTAGCAGGTTGGCTAACTGCTGCTAACATTAGCTTAAGCATTAGTTTCATTTTGGGACTTACCGCTGTGGAACCTTTCTTTACAGCTTCTTGTGCATACTCCACCTGAAAGAGATGACCATCGGGAGAAAATACGGTGATAGCTCTGTCATATCTTGCCGCCATTGCACTGAAATACACGTACAATTCACAAGAAACAGGGAGACCAGCAAAATGATTCAGCTAGTTAGCTACAAAATGCTCGTGAAGTTGCCCTGTGGTGAATAGCGCATGCGTATGACCTCTGAACTGGGGCGATACCAAAGATAGGGTCCGCCAGAAGATGGTTGAACAAAAATTGTAGTAGAATACTTAAATTAATGTCCGTATAAGCTCTGCGAAGCAAATATTTTATTTGAACGTTACAAGAAAAAAAGACGCAAGATCAATATTAAATACTGCATTTCATTTACTCATTTCATTTCATTTAGTGACGTGGAATGAGGGTGCAATGCCAGTGAACTTAAATACATAAAACGAGGGCTTATAAACATTGTTATCAGATTTGATTGCCTAAAACTGCATGCATTATTATTATTGTAATTATTATGAAATATTTGATCAAACTAGTGAGTCTGACTGTTTCCCCTTTTTGTTGAGCAGCCCGTTTCCCGTGGCCTTTTGGACTACATCTAGACTGTTCCACTATATAAACAAATAGGTGAAATCGTAATTCAATTAAGGCAAAATATTGGTGCATTCAAATATATAATTAAATATGTTCAAATAGTACAATGTACATATAATTAATTTAAACATTGTGTATTGCCATATATTCTAAATAAATAATAATCATCAACTATATTTACAAATATGTTGTGTCCCCCCTAAAACGGACCACTGCATTACGAAATTGCATCCTATTCTGAACTGTGTGATCTGAGTTCTACCGATTTGTTAAGTGTTAGCAACCTATGACTTTTATGCTCTAGTTCACTTTCATTTTTTAGAGTATCACCATGTCGGTGGCGTTTGCACCTCACAGGCAGCGCGGGAAGGGTGATATAACACCCGCTGGAATACAAAAGGTAATTCATCTTTTTTAGCGCGTCTCAGAATGGAGGCTATGGTATCATAGACGCTGCTAGCCGTTGAGCTAATCAATGTAGCAGTGCCCATCCAAGTCCAACTGTGAATAGATCGGGAACAATTTTGCAGGGTCAAAGCGCGGTGAATATGAACCTCTGTGGAGTCAGGACGCCATGTGTAGACGATGAGTCTTAGGCCGATTTACCAGACTAACGTATAATTGTATTTAATATGAATGAAGGCCTGCCGTTTTGTTAGCAAAGGACAGCTAGCTAGCAAGACGCGTCTTTTGTTAGCTAGAAACGCACACTCACATTTCACAAAAACGCCCCCCATCCTCTTCGTTGTTTTCCAATTAGGCCGAGCAGTCATCAGCAAGCAAAGGACTGGCCATACCAAATTACTCAGTATTGCTAGTTTTTAAATTTTGTCTTCTCTGCATTCACTTTTGCAGTTACTTGACGAAAACAACCAGCTGATCCAGTGTATAATGGACTTCCAGAGTAAAGGCAAAACAGCAGAATGTTCACAGTAAGTTATGAAAATCCCTTCTCTCCTGCGCGCTACAGTGATTTTAAGTTCACATTAACTCAGAACCTGTATGGATGACTCTCCACCTGCCCAGGTATCAACAGATGCTGCACAGAAATTTAGTGTACCTGGCCACGATAGCAGACTCCAATCAGAACATGCAGTCTCTCCTCCCTGCTGTGAGTATTGGTCCTTGCTGATTATTTTGAGTGAGTGAGCTGTATACTAGTATGACTTCTGAGCTCTTGTATTAACTTATGTCCAGTAAAAGTCACTTGGGTATTGGTTCAGGTAAATCATCTTAAAAAAAAAAAAGTAAGGATTCCAAACAAAGCAGTCAGTGCACTATTACATTATCTAAGAAACTGTCATGTTATGTAATAATAGATTGTCTGATGTGTTATTTCAAATTTACAATTTCTCATATTAAATAATATATAGTCTGAACTATGAATTTAATTGCACATGCACATAATGTCCTGATTCTTTTTTTGGATGTCAAATTCAGTCTAACCCCACTCTTGCATTAAAGGGGACCTCAACAAGATTTAAACCTTTGTTAATGTGCTTGAAGCAAGGGTTACTACTCAGCCTGTGAAGTCAGACAGCATAATGCCTTCTGTGGTTCTCAAGGGAGCTTTCCAAAGTCTGAAAGGAAAAACCCCAGTGATGTCACCAAGTGTATGGAAAATGCAGAATCCAGCATTTTTGCATGACCCATATAAGGGTTAAGTGTGGATATATATCTTGGCTTATTTTTCACCAATCTGTCTATTGCAAGTCCCCAAACTTTATGGAAGTTCAATATAAATGCACTGGAGTACTCCTTAAAGTATCAGTATTACCTATTGACATCGGATGTCCTTTGTGGATGCGCCACCAGTATGAACTTGTTCTGTGCACTTATGCTTGTAAAAGGTGCATATTTGGCTTTGCTTAGAGGCCCATTGTTTTTATTTGTATCACCCCATCATATCATAAAGCTGAAGGAGATTAGATTGAAGTTACTCTTAAGTAATGTTTATGTGTTGAATTTGTTAGCCTACGTCTTTATGCTTAAGGGCTCCCGATGCATTCTGTTCAACACCTTTTTTAGTCACTGGCTGCGACATTATTAAGGACAATTTATTCAGTGATTTTGTCACTTATATATTGTACTGTGTGTATTTATTCCCTATACAGTATATTAAAAAAATGTGTCATCCATGATAAAGGTATATCACAGTTGTACTTTTTTGAGCTATTATCTGCTTTTTTTCTTTTGAATGGCTCAGATGTGTTTCCAGCCAGCTGATGTGTGTTTTGTGTCTGTGTTGTGCGCCCGCAGCCGCCCACTCAGAACATGCCCATGGGCCCTGGTGGGATGAACCAAAGTGGACCCCCCCCTCAGCCACCTCACGGTCACAACATGGCCTCTGAGGGTATGGTCAGCGGTGGCCCTCCAGCCCCACACATGCAGAACCAGATGAATGGACAGATGCCTGGTAAGTGACCCCTCCTCAACTTCCCTCCCTCATCTTTAACTATCCTTTCTTTCCACTTCTTTTCCCTCAGTCCCTGTTTCACTTGGGTTGCCTAGCAACACCACCGAACTGTGAGGGAGGTCGCTCTGCTGAAGGATGATGTCACCCATTTGCCAGCTATGGTGGTCTTGGACTTGTACTCTCTTTGATTATATTTATCCTTTCCTCCTTAATTATCACGGTCTGTTTCAGTGTGTGGTTTGTTTGGCTTTTGTTTGCAAACGTGTGTATCGTATATTATGATGTTCGAACAAACAAACAGAGGTGCCTTGATGTTTTGTTTTTTTTTTCCTCTCAAAGGTATTGATTTCTGTACCACACAATGGTTGTAAATTCTGAAGGGTAAAAGTCAAGGCCACCATATTAGAAACCAGTAAATGTTGCCACTGTAGGGTCACTTTCCCCTGGCATGGTAGTGTTCACTTAAGCTGTACCATGTCGTGCCATTGTGTATTCTGGATTTCCATTGAAACCTCACAACAGGGATATATATGTTATTACTGCTCTTGTTGGCCATGTTATTGGAACTGTTGTGAGTTGCTTTGTTAATGTGTTATACACATAGTATTGCGTCACTAATTCTAGGTGAAAGAAGACAACTAGTAAATCCTTACTTGATAGAAAGGATGACTTCACATACCATTCCTGTTGTATTGAAAGCCTGTCATTACAGTTGCTCATAGAGCAGCACAGTGGACGTATCACAATGTGATAGAAATTACACATAAGCATGCGTGTTAAATATTTATGTAGTTTTTCAAAGGGAGTCATGAATCATCTCTGCTGTTGTTTTCCAGGGCCTAATCACATGCCCATGCAAGGTCCCGGTCCAGGCCCCAACCAGCCCCCAAACATGCCCAGTGGCTCTATGAATATGCCCCCCAGCAGCCATGGCTCGATGGGTGGTTACAATCACACCGTCCCTTCTTCCCAGGGCATGCCAGCTCAGAGCCAAATGAACATGACCCAGGGCCAGCCCATGGGAAACTATGGGCCTCGGCCAAACATGAACATGCAGCCCAATCAAGGTAAAAAAACTAATTTGTTTGTTTCCACTTGGTTGTATTGGTTTCCAGTCCATATCACCTTTCTGACTGGTGATTGCTGCACATCATTCACCTGCATTTTAGAGGTAACACTTTGTTGGTGTACTACAGGGCCCATGATGCACCAGCAGCCTCCCTCTCAGCAGTATAACATGCCTCCTGGTGGTGGCGGACAGCACTACCAAGGTCAACAGAACCCAATGGGCATGATGGGCCAGGTCAGCCAAGGGAACCATGTCATGGGGCAGAGGCCAATGCCGCCTTACAGACCCCCACAACAAGGTATACCCCTCAGAGTGTGTCTGTTAAGTGTGCAAGTTGTGAGTGTTGGTCTCCCTAACCTTCTTAATCTTACAATTTCCTCTATTTCCACTTCTGTAGCTCACAGACATCCTGATGACTAAACATGTAACCTAAAGCCTCCAATCATAAAATTAGTCAAGTGACCAAAAGAAAGCTTTCTAACAAGAGCTAGCGGCAAGGGACCCATCCTCTCTACTCTTCCCCTTACAAAACCGATCCAACAACACCTTGAATCTACTTGTGTGTATGTTGTGTGTATGTGTATGTAGGACCCCCTCAGCAGTACCCAGGGCAGGAAGACTACTATGGAGACCAGTACAGTCACGCAGGACAGGGAGCCTCAGAAGGTAGGAAAACCAACAAAAAATTAACCCAGGAGTTGTGTTAAAACACAAATGATGCAAAGAGACTGTGACAAAATCAATATTTCAGTTTCTTCATTATTTTCTGGGAAAATCAAAGTGACTTTGGGCTCTGACAAAGAAAAAATATGGCATCTAAATCTGAGGAAGCCTCCACATGCCCCCTGAGTGCACTTTAATCCAAAGGGGGCTGCAGTCCATGTATAAGTTAGCACTTAACCAGTATTTTAAAGCCATCCCCAAAAGTCAGGGACAGAGTCTTGTGTGAGTATCAATGGTCAAAGCTTTTCTAAATTAAAATGTTGATCCTTCAGATTCTCATTAAAAAATGTCACACAAGATACTCAAGCAACAATCTCCAGGACTGACAAATGAAGCCAACGTGAAAGTGCCAAAAACTGCTGTTCATTGAATGGCCACTTGACGTGAACTCCAAAACCAAGTCAGTCTTCATAGACCCCCATGTTAAAATGTCCAACTTTACAGCATAAACAAACATGTTTACAGCCTGGTACATTTTTGTCTCTATAGCTTCCCCGTTTATGACAACTGTACAGAGGGTGTAGTTAAAAATTTTTTTTTTAATAAAAATTAACCCTTTAAATTATAGTAAGGCTTAAAGTTATCCATAATTAAGGACATGGCTGCTTTGAGTGACAGGTGGGTGCCCTCTCAGGTGGCTAGCCGCTAGGGGGTTCAGCAACCAGGCTTCCTTTGGCCCACCTCAGTTCCACTTCTTTGTTGCCCATTTTTGGATTAGCCTGTGTGAGACACTGCCAAGATGGTGACGGCTGGAGCCACCGGGAGCCACTCCATAGAGAGCTTCACAACGGCTCTTCAGAAACTATGGCCAGTGTCAGACACTATGTCCATGTTTTATACAGTCTATGGTGATACTTTGTTAACTACATAGCATGCTACTTGTTTGCATGTCTTTCTAAAAATGCATATTTTGTGCACATGAATTAAACAATCCTTGTGATGTGCAGAAATGCAGCACTAGTGACTTGTAAACCACTATATTTGAGAAATAATCTATCACTGCATTATCCTCTAAATTAACATTTGACGTACTCCAGATTATGGTATTTTTATAGTAGGAGCCTCACTGAAAAATTACAGGTTCATAAGAAACAACTCCTTCTCTCTCTTGTTCAATTAACATTTACTTATTGTTTGTTTTTTTGTTCTCTCTACTGACTACACTATTTTCCCTTTGACCTTTCAAACACAAGTATTTCCTTTTTTTTTGAAGAAGGAAAAAAAAATATTAATAAAATAATTAAATAAAATATTATTTGCTTGCTAAATGTTGTGCATCCCTGAATTCCTCAACAACACGATCAGTTTCATTTTATCCCACTGAGATTATCTTAATTTTTAAATGCCAGGTATTACCTGAATAAATTGTAAGTATTAGCTCCATGTGTCCACGTTGAGCTGATACAGGTCATATGCCTCCACCGTGTCCTGAACAAGGCATTGGTTGGCCTAACGAGCATTCATCTGAACACTGTTATCATAAAAGGGATCTTTTATATCTTCTAATATGTGTGTGTGCTCAGGATAATGCTGACATGGGTGTGTTAAAGGTATTTTTAGATTAGGATGCTTTTAAAGTTACCATTTGTGTTACTTTTATACATCACTTATTTAATTGATCCTTTTTTACATGAATGTCTTCACTTCTACTGTATGTATGACTTACTATTGGATAGTATCTATCCAATTGTAAACTTTACATTTGCTAATAGTTTCACATAATGCGGTTGTATTTCTAATGGCTGTATATGCCAGCTGTGTGTGATGTGTAGCAATTACAGGTGCATCTTAACAGCCCCATCCAAAATTGATTTCTTAAGTAATAGCATAGGAAGAAAATCCATTGTCTACCTGTTGGCTTTGCTGTTATGCTGTAAGACTAGTTGCCAACATATTGCTCACATTGCCTGCTGTTACCCCCTGAAGGTAATGCCCAGTATGGCCAACAGCAGGAAGCATACCAGCAAGGCCCTCCCCAGCAGCAGGGCTACCCTCCCCAACAGCAGTACCCGGGTCAACAGGCCTACCCACCACAGCAGCAGGGTTATGGTGAGTAACCTTCTCTCGAGTAGGGGCACATATTTGTCCTGTAGGAGGCACTATCACCTCTCTTTAGCTACCTTTTTTTTACTGTTGAATTATAATCCCCTCTGAGTCCGTTGATGGTCACTGCCCCTTGGAAATGTAACTGTGCCAAATGCATGTCAAGACATTGTCAATAGCAAGGAATTAAAGGACCGCCTTAATGAACGGTTAGGGGATTGGTGCTTGGTAGAAGACATTTAATCAGTAGTGGTGGCTGGCACCACATTAACATTTCTCCTGGTGCTTCAGTTTGATATGACACACTGTTCCGAGGGAGTGGGAGAGGAGCTTTGGCTGATGGGTACAGACATTGGGCAAAGTGTGTGTAGACTGCCAGCCAAACATTTCGGACTCCTTGCATTTGAGCATTATGGATAAATAGTTAAGCAAAGTGTAAATTGTAAATATTCTAAAATTAGCAAACATACATATTAAAGAATATGTGTAAGTAAAGTTATAGATTAGTAAGTCTTTAGTTGGAAATCTTTGAAACATTTCAAGGAACTCAGTAGCCGTCATGCTTTGGAGCTCATGATAGAAAAGGAAAGCTAATGTACGAATAAACACGAATTGAAAAAAGTGTGGGAGACTAAAGTTACAACACTTAATTGACTTATACATATTGCGTGCTTATATTTTCTAACTTAAGGGTATTCACTATGAGCCTGTGGCTCTGGGATTTAACCAAAACGAATAAAGTAAAGGATGTTTTAAAAAAAGTTCCACATGCATGTATTTAGGCTCCTGCAGCTCTTTGGGCTTTTTCTTCCTCATCCCATTTTTCACTGGAACTTTCCATCACTCACCCTCTGTCTGAGCCAGAGCTCATGTTAGTAATGAGCTAGCAGAGAGGCAGAGGCTGTGAGGTGAGATCCATCTGGCACGCATACGCTTTCTCTCGCAGGCCCCCACAAGGTTATGCTCAACAGCAAAAGGCATTATGAGCGCCTAACGATGCTGCGTGGGCCTCATTTGACTTCAGCCCCAGTCAAGCTTTGCTCGGTCTTTCACAGCACCTGCATAGATAGCTACAGTTTACGGGGGCTGATGAAGTGATTTTTTATTTTTTATTTTTTTAAATGAAGCCTGCTCCTCTAATGAAGACCAACACAATCTCCTTGATGTCTCCTTGCATTAGGGAGCCAACCGCCTGGCTTCAACCTGACTCACTCATTCTCATTCATTACTGAGTCAGGCGTTGTGGAGGCAGCCAAAACAAATGGGTCTGACATATCCACCATCCACTCTTTGTCGTCCATAAGCTTTTTTATTGCAGCCCATTAGTGATAGTAAACTGGGATTCCCTAGAGTTCTCAGAGTAACGCGTAGGAAACGGTTAATGAGCAAAACTTGGGCAGATTTCACACTTGGTTCTTTTGTTTAAATCCAGAGTTGCATCTTTTTATAAGCAGGTGATGAGAATAAAAATTGCACTGCGCTAAAAGAAGAAAATGCGCAAGGGGCTACTCTTCTAATTGTGTCATCAAGTTGGGCTTGAATGTTATTCAGTGCTCAAACATAAGTGAAGGTCTCTATCCAATGATTTTGAAAGCCATTAAAACATACACAAAAGATCTTGTGATTATTTGGATGGGTTATGGTACGTTTTTGCCTGCATTACCAAATTTGTAGACAAACTGTTCCTGGATCCAAACTAAGCTGCCCAGTGTGAACGGTGCCCACGTGGTGCCAGAAACAAAACATGCTGATGATGACAGGTTAGAAGTACCTGATTTGAAATAGTTTCAGGTATACTCTGTCAAGCGTACATCATTTTTAAATTGAGTTCTCAATATTTTTCTTAGGTCCGTCCCAAAGTGCCCCAGGACAGTATCCTAACTATCCTCAGGGGCAGGGACAGCAGTATGGGGGCTATCGCCCTCCTCAACCTGGACCCCCACAAGCCCAGCAGCAACGCCCCTATGGCTATGACCAGGTGAGTATATCCACAACACTGGTCAGTGAGTCTTAGTTTGTCTCTTATTATGTTTATTGCCAGACTGTATATTTTGTGTAGTGAGACCAGAGACCAATGTGAGTGAAATTAGAAGGTAAACATTAAAAGGTAGTATTTTATGCATGCTGTCATCATATTGGGAGTTAAATCTGTTCTTCCCCAAAAGGGTGTATGTGTTACTATTGTCTTTCACTTGTTAATTTGAGTCTTAGTTATATATCCTGGCTAATATGGTATGCCAGTTCAGTGGGCTTTAAGAGGATTCTTCCTTAAACTTGATGCAGAATGCTCTAGTGTTTAAAGGGAGATCTATTTGTTGCCCTGTATTTCCTGTGGTCTTATGTGGCGACCACAGCTACACTTTGATATCTTTATCTTTGAATATTCAGGGGCACATGAGGAAATAAAGACCCAGGGATTTGAACCCCTGACTAGCTCTGTAAGAAGCAAAGGTAATGGTTGCTGTGAAGACCTCAACGTCCAATCTAGACGTTTGACCACCTAGCCTTAATTTGCATTTGTTATGTTTCTTCTGTCTCTCTTTTGTCTTTATCTTTCTCCCATCTTTGTCCTTTTTTTTTTTTTTTTTTTTTTTTTTTTTTTTTTTGGTATTCTTTTATTTTGTTATTAACCAGGGGTCGAATTGTAACTCACGAGGTCCAGGAACACAGCATGCTTAGTCTGCAGTAAGACAGCAAAATCTTAGTGCCTTAGTCCTTAATCTGCAATTTACAATACTGGAGAGAGAGAGAGAGAGAGAGAGAGAATCTCAGACTGTCAGATCAGTTTGTTTCCATTGTATTTTCCATAATACCAAACACATAGTTCGACCCCTGTTTAGAAATGCATCAACTAAAACTGTAGTTACACTGATTTTGTCTCACTTGCAACTAGTGTCCACTATTCAATAAGGAATATGGTCCTCAGCATGCCACTGCTGAAACCTGAGGTATCTAGTTAGAATTTAGAGTTGTGAGTCCATGCTGCCACCCGCTGGTCAATACCAGCAAATGCAGCCATAAATCATGGTTTGCAGTATGATATGGTTGAAACCACAGATGTTTGTTTGCACCCTATTGAGATTTGTGAATATAAGCTTTAACTCTGCTTTATAGAGAAGGTCAGTAACATAACTCTGTCACATTTCTCTCCACAGGGCCAGTATGGAAATTACCAGCAATGAGAGATGGTCACAGCAACCCACACAGCTCTGTCTGAGCTTTGACCTCTGGTCAACTGCTAAGCAGATATAAATGATGGTTGTAGCTCACTGAGATGCACTCAGACATGAACATACAACACTCAAAAATACAAGATACATTTTCCCCTCTTATCTTTGCCTATAAAATGTATTCTGTTCATCATGACTTGATAATGTCAAAGTCCATGACTCACCCTCTGGTCCAGTATGTCTCAAAGCAGCAATGCCTTAAAATGGAACTGCCTTATCCTTTAGCATTGCAGATTGTGAAACAGGCTAAAACATTTTGGATATCAGAGATGATTTTAAATGTACAGTTTCAATCTACTGTGGTGCATTGTTACTCTATCCCTCAGCTCCTTGTTCATAAGAAGCAATAATGCCAGCAGTAGGGAAATGTGTGGGGGCTTAGAGATAAAATAATGCACCAGACAAACTTCCCGCTAGGCCATGGTACATGTCTTGATGTATGTGATGATGTAAAAATATATTTTATGCTTTTTAGATCAAGCTAACTTTGTATAAGACATTGGAAACTAGTACTAAAGCTGTGTTGTTTATTTCATAAAGTGTATGTGTCAATGTTTTTTTAAAAAATATCTTTAATGATGATCCCATCCAGCACATTTTGTTTAGTTTTTTGTGTTGAATTGTATAACTATTAAATTGGATCTGCTACTTGTGACATGGAGGCTATGAATTATTTGTGTAAAAATGAAAAATGAATTACAATTGAAATTGGGCGAAGGACGAATACGAACAGCATACGTGGAATTAGATAATGTTTAATGTCTGAAAACACATGAAACAATTGCTGTTATGTGTTAAGCTGTGTATTAAAGTCAGTGAAAGAATATATACCTTTATATTTTTTTTAACCACATTACTTGACAGAATGATGGCCATTAGCTTTTATTTGACATATGTATCCAAAAGGGTGATATGTGGCAGATACCACTGCAAATTTTAAGTTTATGTTCTCTGAAGCCTGATTGTTAGTATTGTTTTTCTATACAAGCACCTCAGTCTTGTCCATTGACTGCAAATTGGTGAATGGGAAAGCTCAAACTTGGTATAACATATTTCTGACAAGTACCTTGTCTTGTTGATCTTGACACTGCTGGAATCCCCCTTTCCCTTTGATAAACGTCTAAGTTGATGTCATTCTAAATAGTGTTGTGTGTGTGAATACTAAAGTTACTGTCAAATATGTAACATAAGATGTGAAAATAATGTTCTGGAATGGATTCCTTAATTTCGCAGTAAAGACTGGTTGTGCAGTTTTATATCACTGGCTTGATATCTGTTTTATGGTGCATACTTTATTGGTCCCATATGTACAGCGGCATAAGGAAGAGGAATTCATTGTCCTCTGATATTGTTTATATGGCTGTTTTAATATTTTGCATTCTGCACCCCATCAAAGTGGTCACATTTGTGTCATGGCAATGTATAACTGTACATTACAATAAATTGGAAGAATCTTTAATATATTTTGACTTGTTGTTTATAGAATTTGACCTTTTTATTGAGATGCTGTTAATACAAACGTGCAAAATCATTCATCCTGGTGACAACATAAACAAGATGTGCACTATTGGTGCTGTCATAATGTGACAGTATGATATAATTGTTTTGTCTTCATCTGCTATCTGGTAATCAGTTTCCAACTGATAATGACCCTGCATCGCTCAGCAGCATGTCTGCTTTGTCCAGATGCATCCAGAGAGGTCCAGAGCACATTTACACCCAAAATTACCTTCCGTGTCCCTTTTTCCCCTTCTGCTCCCTCCAGAGAGGGAGAGGGACTACCTGTCACATTGGGGCGAGTGATACAGATGGTACACCAGATGTGTGGCCGAAGCACGTGATGGGAGAGTGGTGCCGGTGTTAAGAGGGCCACAGACTGCCTGGGTTGCCTTTGGTGCCGATGATGAGTTTGTGTGTGAGTAAATGTGGGTGAGTGCAGCAGAAGAGCTTTAAGAAAAGGAAGAAGTGTGAACTTTTTGAGTGTGCCTTTGTATAAAATGTGCATTTGTGTATCCCTGCTCAGGTTTAGTGCCATCTCATAGTCACCCCACCATCCTGCTGCTCCACAGCTGGCCGCCCCACCCTTCCCAGCTGCCACTGGGGCTCCCCCTGGCCCCTCCGCTTGGCAGAGCTGGCGTTTTGGGCGCTCCCCCACCAGTCCTCCCTGGCAGCTGCTGCCCTCAGCTGCGCTCTCGCAGACGGTATTGGGGTCGGACAAAGTCACTCCTCCTGTGACTGTGTCTGGGGCCGTTAGGGGAGGATGAAGAGGTGGCAAGGAGACTCTTACCTCCTATGCAAGATCTTTCTATGCTCATGAATTCAAATTGATGGGCACATGACTAAATGGGAGACGTGGAGGTATTCTGGTATGAGTATGAATTTCTGTGGTAGTTTATTAATGACCAACTTATGTAAGTCAATATTACAAAGTCATGCACAAAAAAGATTTCTTTGGCTTTGGTTAGTTCTAAATTAGTTATTCAAAAGCTTACAGGAGAGCATTACTCGATGCATGTTATGTGATGGTACGGCAAATAGTGAAGTGGCAGTATCATTTAAGAGGATGATTATCTTGTTCAATATTTTGATAATTATAATTCAGGGCACCTTTCGGAGGAGGCTCCTAACCACTGAGGGGAAAATGACATTGTGATCATAGCTGGCAGGCAAGATGTGATCTCTCTCTTGCTCTCTCTCTCTCTCTCTCTCTCCCACTAACTCTTCCTTTCACTCTCATACCCACACTCTCAGTGTGACAGAAAGTCTATGGGGAGGTATAAGAGGTAGTTATGGGGGGAATGCAGCAGCCTCCACAGTTTAATTGGAGATGTGTCACACTAAATAAATGGTGCAAAAACAAGCGCTGACTGGAGGCTTGAGGGAGGGGCCCTGGGGAGGCAGCCTGTTTTATTGGGCAGGAGCTTTGCACCGCTCCAGGGTGAAACTGGGCTGTGCACTGCTGAGATACCCTCCAACCACCAAATCACCAGGCCGCCCAAAGACTACTGTGGAGGAAAAGACAAAGGCATTCATTTCACTCTGCAGAAAAGCATCTTATTGGTGCTGAGGAAAAGGTGTGGGTGAACTTGGTGACCCCATCGTTCCTCCTCCAATAAGGGGCATATCGTCTTCCTCATCTGCAATTTCAATTTCTGCACGCTGCCAAACAAATCCATAATTGTAAAATCTTGAGCAAGCGCCGTCTGCCTGACTTGCTCCTAGATCTTATGTATGTCAATTTATGTTTTGAGAAGACGGCAGCCAACAGCCTCCAGCCAATCCCATTTCCCTGTGTAATCCATACATGACCTCCAAGTTACCAGGAGAATGTGTTTTCCAATATTCTATCAATGTTGATATAACTGTTGTCTCACTTTGCTCATGCAGTGTGTGTGTGCGCGCGCGCACACGAACCTTAGATTCCAGAGTTCATGGCACGAGTTTTGATTTACCTCTACAGTGTGCCTCAGTAATTGGATGTGACACCATTCTCTCTGCTCTCCCTGGGGGATATAACAGGAATCTGACTATTATGGCCCCAGCCATGAATATGTCACTACAGCTGCAAACAAAGGCCTGTGATTTGGATAAGACTTCTCTGTATGTTGTCTCTATGCTGATATATGAGATAAATGCTGCAAGGTAAATGAGTTTTCTGTAAAGCAATTTGCAGTGTTTACAAAGAATGATTAATTGCCATTATTTGGGCAAAAAAATCTATGGTAGAGACAATGTTCAATATTACATGTTCATCGCTATGTCTGCCAGATACATACTTGCCTCACAGATGTTTGTGGAAGCTATTATATCTAGTTTCAAAACAACTGAAAAGATTTTTTGGACCTGCCATACACAAACAGGGTGATCCCCTAGAAAGACATTGTTTTGCATGCATCTGATGTGCAGTGCTTTGTTTAAATCCCATCGTTTGTTGAGGGTTTAGCCATCAAATCAAATTGAGTATGCTGTTTTGTATGTGTTCTAGCCTCATAAAAGTAGTCTCTGGGTGAAATAGCAGGTATGCTGATATCAGTATTCCCACAGCCTGCATAATTGCTGTAATTTGCTTTCCCTTTGGGTAATCTGTAAACATGGCTGTTTTGATGTTTTTGGCATCCTCCATTGGCTGAGCTCTCTACTCCTCCAGTGGAGCCCCCATCCCAGCCCAGGGTGACACAAATAGATCCTTCCCCAGAAGGCGCACGTAGTTCCACATGGGCACAATCAATACAGCCCAGTCGTCACTGGAACTGTGGCGGTATTAAAAGCACCCCGTGAGCTGGTTCTCACCATGCCAGCGTTTTAGGGAAATAAAGCTATTGATCCTCTAGGGCCTCTGGCGGAGCATTAACCTGGGTCCATAAATTAGAACGTGCTCATCTGGACACATCTGACTGCAATGTTCTCAAAAAGCCAGTCCCAGGGAGAGAAAAGGAGGGCTGTGAGGCCTGCTGCTTGCAATGATGAGTAGAGCACTACTTGACGTCCATGTCAGAGCGGGGGAGGCGTCTGGATGCCCAGGACTTCCATTAGAGGCCCAGGATGGTGGCATGGGTCGATGTGGTAAAGTTTGGTTGGGGGTACTCCATCTCAGATCAGTGTGGTTCCTCACCCCTGATGCAGAGAGAGTGGGGGGCTGACCCACAGTAAACCTGAGCTCCTGACTGGAAGGACAATGAGGGAAAGGGCTGCTGTGTTCAATGCTTGTCTCAGCGGAGTCAAAGGCTTTGACTCTTTTGTAAAATTTTATTTCAACTACCAGAATATATATCTTTTCTTCACAGAAATATCCAAAATAACTACTCAAGTTTTAGATATTCAAGCAAATATACTATACTCACTATAAAGCACTCTGCAAAAACTACATATGGTATTAATTGATTTATCACCTAAAATATTATAGCAACAGTACTTTAGTACAACAGCAAGCTGTAATTTCCATTTTCAGATTACATTTTTATTTGTCTGCAAAACCTAGAATCACACTTCCCACCATGAGTCTATTTGAGCCATTGATTCAAATGTGTCACTTGCGAGGGAGTCATACAAGTTGGTAATTATATTTGACTAGGAGATCAGAGTCTGAATACACAGAAATAGAAACACAAACACAGTCATGTGCATCTAAGTGTACAGACATAGTTTTAGTAAAGACCTTTTTGATTGATATTCACACTTTAATCTTATCTTCCTGACTACAACCTATTGTATGACTCGTGACCCCCCGTCCGGACCCCATCACTTTTCACATCACCCATACTTTTGAGACAATGTGATTTAAGCATGAATTTTCCAGTTTCATTTAGACCACATTTAAATGTCACCCACCTGCTGTACGCCAGAAACCCACTCTACAATTAAGAAAAATTCGTTTGATTTGTGTTTACTGATCAAAAGAATCCATATATCTCTCATAACAACACATTTCACCAACTACACTCACACAGACAGAGACACTTTGGAAACTTTCCCTCTTTTTCTCAGCCTGCCCTATCAGTGGGAAGCCTGGAAGTTCTCTGCCCCAGTTCTCCATGTCCTTGAGAGTTGTGCCTTCGGGCCGGGGCTGGTGGGGTCCTGCGGTGCACAATGTGTGCTTCTCACTCAGGCTCCCGCTGTACTCCGCCGCCCCTGCATGGCTCTGGAGAGTTGCCAAACTCTGAGGGGTTGTCCGTGCGAGTGGGGGAGTGTGCGTGTTACCACAGAACCGCTCCAAACATCTCACTTCCTTCCCCAGTGACAGTCGACCGGATATAAATCACTATCCTGGATTGGCCGACTACAATGGGATGCTTGGGAAGATGTTATGAATAATCAGACTAATTGCAATAAACAGTGTGAAGTGATGTGCAAATGACTGAGGATCTTGTTTTTCCACATCCTGCTTTCGCAAAGGTTAAACCATAGGGTAGAGTATGTGTTGCCAGTTTAGAGAAGTCAAAAGCCTATGTGAGATATGCTTGAAGTATGAGAAAGATTGTATTCTTTATGGAGAATATCATGGTAATATTTTCTTTTTCTTAAACATTGTCCTTCTTTTGTTTGATGATTAAATCAACATCATAAAAAGGGCAATTAAAGAATGTGGTCATAATTTGTAGTTATATGTGTTTGACAAATCTCTTTATATTTAATACAGTACATATACAATGTTTTTTTGTAATTAATATGGATATTGGCCGAGAGCAAAGATAAAGATCCATTTTCTAATATTTTGTCCTTGGATTGTGCACTCAGGGAATTCACTCCCCTTTTTCTCTTTCGCTTCCCTGGCTAAGGCATGGGGAATTGGTGGGATAAGAGGCTATTCCCTAAATAGCCCATGGCAAGAGGTATCCTGATTAGCATGCTGCCTGCTCTCTGGCAGCAGTCCTCCAGGCCACCAGCGCTATCACTTACGTGCTGTTTGTATTTGTAGTTGATAGTGTGTGCTGTTATAATTGGAATGAGCTCAGGAACCTCGT